GTGTTCAGAGAATAGTTTTATGATTAAAATCGATATGAAGTTATTCTAAAACCCTGTTATTGAATAGACATCCTTCCAGACTAATTTATTCATTAACATGAGAAAAACATCTGAACTTCGCAATACAACTCTAAAAGACACAAATGACATGTAAATAAGATGTGAATGGACACAAAGAAAAGACTAAAGAGAGAAAAGGATCAGAAGTAGGAACTAAAGTGGTGGAAAATCAGAGCAGAGACCCGGTTCTGGTTCTACCTGCAACAAGAATTAGCCAAAATAAATAACTAAAATTGAATAAATTACAAAAATCATAAACAAAATACCCAAATAAAAATAAATAAAAAAATAAATAAAGGATCGATTTAATTTTGAAATGAGAAAACTTCTATTTGCAGCTAATAAAACATTTTTACAGTTTTATGCATTTGTGCATTTTTCTCTGTGCAAGTTTTTTTTCTTTTGTTTTGTATTAATTTCATAATATGCATAGTTTAAAAAACGTAAGTTCTTCTAAATTTATGGACAATTTCTGAAACATTCTGTATTTGTATTTGTTCTAATGCAGGTCCTAAAAATAGACTAATTTCTGTGCATAAAATATAACTGATTAAGTTGCAGTAGCCTCGCCTGGCCTGAAGGTGGCAATGTAGAGCCTCCAGATTGTAAAATATGTTTTATTATTTAGGAAAGCAAACGAATCCAGTTCAGCTGCTGTTCTGATATCTGTTTTTTTTTTTTTCTCTCAACAACAGATGAATAGGAGAACAAAAAACAAGAGGGGAGGTAAAAGTACATCAGGAAATGAGAAGAACCCACTTTTTATTATCTAAAATATGAATATGACTTTAACATATCCAAATATGTGATCAATCTCACATGAAAAATGATGAAGATTGAATGTTAGAGAAATGCTTGTTTAAAAGCTTCAGCAGGCGAGACATGGGCAACTGTAATCATTTTAAACAACAAAATAGCATAATTAATTACCAATTAATTATGTTTTCATGTTTCCCAGATTACTGAATAGAATTTTATGATCTAACTTTAAATGTTTCAATGTCACATTAATAATTTCAGAGTTAGAAAAAACACAACAAAGAGCCTCAGCTGAAGCTATTTTCTTGTGACTTCTGAAATCCCACAGGGCAGAAAACCTGCCAGAAACAAACATTTTTCATAAAAACAGATTAATATTAAAGGTTTCTCACAAAACTTCTGTTGATCTGCTTAATTTTATCTTTATTTATGCCTTGATATATTTTCCTCCGTTATAAAACCACTTTTCCCTCTTTATTTACTTCACAATAAAAATATGTAGAAATATCTTCATCTTCAGGATGAACGTTTTGTAAAATGGGTAATAACGTGTGTTTACAGTTCAGGTTTTATGTCCCACAGGGTATCTCGTCAGTGAACGCACCTCGGGATCATCACCACATTTTAGAGCAGAGCTCCCCCTGGTGGCACCATAGCGTTAGCACTACATTTATGAATAGATTGGGAAGCAACAGGAATCCAGAACCATAAAAAACAAATATTCCGTCCACTGACAGTTACTTTACTCTAAAGATTGGATATAAATTATCTATTTATTTAGGCTTGTTTTTACATCTTTGAGTTGTATTTCTACGGTTTTATTCTGAAGATGTAAAATGTGAAGCTTTTTGGTTGACTTTTGTTTTTAAATGTGTTTTACACATAAATTTCACATTTATATTATTTTATCTATACATTTTAAATATGACTTTCTTCTCCGTTGAAGAATAAATTTATTGTTTTTAATTCAACATTACTTTTTTAATAATTTGTTTTATGTACCTTGCTGCTGTCACAAAGCTTTGCTGTGAAAGTCCTGACCGGAAGTAGTGAGAGGGTCTTCGCTGCAGCCTGCGGAAAGGGGCGGTGACGGACCACTGTCAGTCTCATACCTTATATGGAAATTGGACTATT